TAAATATGCATCACTAACTACGTTACAGAGCCCTGTACTCTAACCCTGATAGGATCCAGCTATTCAAATCCTAAATAATTACTTGCAAGTTCTAAGTGAAGTTGTTTGCCTTTAAAGCATTTTATAKAGTCTTTCTTCTTGCAAGGTTTTTGTTTTTTTAAAAGTATAATTTCCATTAACTCCTGCTTTTAGTCAGGCTATAAATACCAGAAGAACAGTCTCCCTCCTGGTATTTTGGCACTTCTGTCCATTTTCAAAGCCAGAAAAAGTAAGTGGAGAGACATGAAACTGAAAAATAATGAAAATAACAAAGAAAATATGAAGAAAAAGTTAAATAATGCACCCTATGAATGCTCAACAAAAAATATGCACCTTTGGACTCAGATAGTGTTCCATGCAGTATTTTGTTTGCTTACAAACATGTTTGTTCCAAAGCACCATTTCATGTGGCACTAAAACTTGTCTAAAGCTGGTCTCCAAGCCTGGTCCTTTGGCAGAGCTCTTTCCCACATTTTAGCACCTGATGACAGCAGGATGATTCCTATTTCAYTTTCACAATACAAAATACCTGACCTAGAATGTTCTGTTGTTAAATTTAATCCACCAGCTCTGAGTTTATTTGTCTAGGATTCAGGTAAACTTGACTAAATTCCTATCTCCACCTGCTTGGGTAGTGCCTCAGACTCATTTGTGCACCCTGACTGTAAGAATCTTTTACTCCCTGCAAGCCATTACACAAATAAATCAATAAATCCTTATGAGATGTTTCCATAACTCAAGGGTCTGTCATGGGGTATATTATTAGGCTAGCCTAATAGAAAGCCTGATAGAAGAACAAGGCATTATCATGTCTCTGTCTTTTTTAAACATCACAAAACAGTTTGATCAAGTTATCTCACTTGAATATTAGATTAAATTGTGATTCAATTATTATGTGTTCCGAACCCTCCTCTCTAACTCAAATCTAAAGCAGATTTTCAATTTTAATAAAATCCAAGAGTTTTAGAAGTGTGCACACACAGAGAGACATTCTGAGATAAAACCATGCACAGGAGAACAAGCCTCTCACTCGGTGGCGTCCCCATGCAGTGTCTCCAGCAGCATCTGATAAAACCATCACCGTACTACTCATCATCAACTTACAGTCACACCTGGACCTTAAATTACAGTTCACCATCCATCACCRAATATCTAGCTGCAAACAGTGCTGCATCTTTAAAGAGCTATTTCCTTAAAAATATATAACGCTGATTGGCTCAGCATTCATAAGTGTTGTCCTGTGAAGGCCAGAATTAGTGCAAATATCTTCCATATGCTTATTCATGTTTCATAAACTGGAATATGATTCTTCCTAGTGCTGACTCATAGGAATTGTTTAATTTTCTTGAGACAGTTCAATGAAACCCACACAGAGATGGCATCTCAGCAAGAGTCTAATCCTGAGAAGATTGATTTTCTGTTAAGGGATCCATATTTGAACAGATAGCCAGGACAAGAAAGAAAACAGTAGTATCTTCCTATTTTCTATTACAGAGTTTTGGGGGACAGGGCTCTTTAATTAAATATACTGAAGTAAAAATTGCATCTTGTGGATGATACTGCTAGTCTTTAGGAAATTTAGAATATCAAGTAGAGTGATTCTTAAAACATCCTTATCCCAACATTCCCTTGCACTCATTGTTTGTTATGGCACCGTTTGTGAAGGCTTTCCTAAACTGATAGGAGAACCAGACAATCCTAATTATATTATCTTTATTTCATTGCTTAGTTGAACAGTTCCCTATAATGTTATAGAAAACCTTCTCACAGAAAGCCGCCSTCAGACTTCAAGAACAGAAACAGTGTATTTTCAACTTAATTTAATGCTTCATTTTCATGCTTTTAAAACATGCTGAGCTGATATCTCTCGTGGCCAGAATCTGCTTTTTACTCACAGAATATAAACAAAAGAGAAAAGCAAAACCAGCAAAAGCTTCCCATAGCAACTTGCTTTGAAGCTGTCTCTGAACAATTACCTCGAGGGGGTGACAGAGCATTTCAATTTCCGCATCTCATTCAGTCCTGTGGCTTTCTGATGAACAAATRGAACTGTAATGTTATTTTCTCAGTTTTAATGCCACCCCAGTATATCTGGCAGGCAGGTCACTGAACACCCATTGTAAGGCAGTAATTTCCAGTTACTAATGTCTACTAAATGACAGATTTTATCCTGAAATCTTCCACTGTGTAAAGGTCTARCACAGAATCTCTCCCTTCAGATCATCACAGGAACTCAGTTGTTATTCACTTACCCGGTACCTTTGATTTCTGTAATTCACATCCATTCCCACTGAACAAATTCCTTCCTACTGATCATATCTTGATTTATCAGAAACCCTTTCTACCTTCATCCAACAGATACAGACATTTCCACCTGCCTTATTCCTCCTCCCATTTTATAGTTGTGATGATGATCACTCTGAGCTTTCAAACTCTTCTACATCATTATGACCTAACCAAGCTCTCTGCATACCAGACACAGTTATGCTGCTAAACATCACAAAACATAAAATGCTTCAAAGGAACATATCAAGATGTCTCATTTTCCCATTGCAACCTCTTCTTGAATTTAGCATAACCTTTACCATAAGCCTATTTCTGCTTTCCCCTAGCTATAAATGACTTGAGTAATTAATTTTATTTTTTACTTCACATTTCACTCCTCTTTTTTATGGGAAAGAATCCCTTGCACATGAGAACCTTCTGCCAGAGCCACAGCAAATGTTTACAGTGCAACTGCATATAAATCTTCTGGGATTCTGATTTTGCTGAAAAAATGTATCTCAGTTCATGCTCATTAAAAACTTTCCTGAATGCTAAGTAAGCCTGACAAGATTTTCAGTATTCCACTGAAAGCAATGAGACATATGTAACATGATGCACAGGGAAAATCATTCCTTTCAAGTGAGTKTCTCTTTGATGTCCATGAATGGGGTGAATACCAAGCTCATGGCAAAAGCCAAAAGATGTGTATGGGAGTCTGAAGGKGGTGAATCAAACCTATTGATAATGGTATCTCTTTGCTCTTCAGGTAATAAATTTCATAATGTCTGCTAATCTAAATCATTGAGATATGCCTAAAAATCTACTTGCTAATGTGTTTATGTTTATGTGTTTCTAACTGGCATATCTTCTGCTCATTTAACTCACATTGCACATTAACAAGGACTGATCTCTTTTCGTTTCCTGGAGATGTCATATTATCAGTCCAGCTGAATGTATTTTAAACTACTTCATTCATTCATTATCCAGGTATATGAACTATCTATCAGAGTTAAACAATTCACTCAGGGTATTTTCGTTCCACACTTCTGCACACATCAGCTGAAAGGGACACTTAACTACTGAACTTTATGTTTGTTTTGAAATTGCCTTTTAACCCACTTAAGAGTCTCATCCAGATCTTGAAGAACAAACAAGCACAAGAGCTGGATTCTATCATGATTAATTATGATGGAAATCAGCTCCAGCCTAAACATTTACTAAATGTTTAATCCCTGGTAATGTTTTTACTGAGTATAAAAGACAGTTMCATTAAAAAATATATAGTATTTTTATTATTATTATCCTGTTCCGTTGTTTCTGCAGCAAGAGATTTCTTGGGAAAAAAATATCTGGCAAAAATTAGGAATAAGAGGTTTCGGTATATGTATTTATAAAGATAGTGTTGGTAACAGAGGAAATATTTTAGCATGGGATAAACCATGGAATAGGGATAAACCATGGAAATAGGGATAAACCATGGAAATAGGCAAACATACAGGAGATTTATTTGATGTGCACAAGCCAACTGCAGCAGTCAGCATGTGCAGAACACCAGAACCATGTGGGGCAGTGGGTAGCAGCAGGTGATGCCACAAAGAGGTAAGGCACAGTGTATGACAGAAAGTAAGACAGACAATCCAGTGTCAGCTCMTTTTCTTTGTTTAGACTGGCCCATCCCACCAGAGTGTCCACTTTGCTCTGTTCTTGCTGCATGCAGAAGTTCTGTTCTTAGCATCCTGGGGAAAGTGAATATGYTTTCAGCACATGCTAGTTTATAGCAAATACCAAATGGTTTTGATCACCCTTTATATTAGAACAACTCCACAAAAAAGAAAATCTATGTCATTTTTCACTCACTGTTGTTGTCTCCTCTTTGTCCTAACTTCCCAGAAATGCTAAAAAAATGGATGGAAAGGTAGTCAAAAAAACCACATATGGTCAGTGACATTAAACACTAAAATCTTACTTTCTTTGGATAGTTATCCTTCTCACAGTATTTGCACTAGTTTCTGCACATGAGGGAAAAAAAAAAAACCAAAACCAAACAAACCCAGAAAGTTCATCACCTCTTAAATATTGGATTTACTAAAGCATGAAACCAAACTCCTCAAACTTGGGTGCTGCAGCTCAGCCCCAAGGCCACACTACACCATTGAAAGACCACCTTATAAATGTGCTACCTTTTCTTCCCAGTGGAAGTTAAACTCCTCTATAACCACTTTGCAGCCAAGCAGCAGTAGACATTTTGTTTTCAGGGCTGCGGAAARATAGCACACAGCACGAGAGAGAAAGATTTTAAAAGGCGAAATATCTCAAACCACTTTTTGCTTTATGAATAAATTCAGCTACAGATACTACTATCAATTTTTATGCCAGTTCACAATAGGTTACAGCACTTTAAGCAGTCTCCATCTGAGGTCCTGATCTGACTTCTCTAGTTATGCATAAATACTGTCACAAAGCACCATAAACCATTCTTCTCATTCTGCTAAGGACATTTCAAGTTCTGTAGAAGAGAGTCACCCACAGCATACAAAACCCTTTAAACAATAGCAGGAGGAACATAAGCCAATCACCAGCACACACTCAAATCACTACCAACGTATGTCTGGCTACCAAAGGCCTGKTTCCTACACCAATACAGGTAAATATTTGCATGTTCCCTGTTTTGAGCAATTTAATAGCCCTATACTCACATGATTTCCTATTTGCTCGTGACCGTTTCCTCTCTCTAGGCACCGCTCGCTGGCTTGGCACTTGGGTGGCRGACTTGACGATGCGATCCATGATCTCATCCGCGGCATCGTCCGTTGCGTTGGGTGAATCGTCGTTGCCAGCGTTCCACGAACCGATACGGCCTGGAAAAGACCAGCAAGYGAATTTGGGGAAAAGCAGGCAGAAAGTCTCTTGTGTAACTTTGGTTTTGCAATTGGGTTTTCTGGGAAATTACAGCAGGCTGCTCAGTCATCCCAACTTCAATTCGACCAAAGGAGAAGACTCTGCCTAATGGAGAATATTTCTAAATAATACCCTTGACTCTCTGCTGCATCAGCAGAGAGCCAAGAGCTCAAATGCAATTATAATATMCATACATATACACTTTCTGTTCCTTTCAGCCTCAGTGTCTTGCTCTTGACCATAATACAACTGGCAAATGCCTGCCGGAGGCTGCCTATAAGCCAAGAATGGATAGTGTGGTGGGACCATGTTTCCCTTTGCTCYTATTACACAGACCCTAGGAGACATGGAACCTCTTAGAGATTGATGGAAATCAGAAACACAGGTCCATTGTACAGAATGGAAGAACAATTTCTGAGCATCACAACATAGTGCAAAGGAGACAAGAAAATGGCATGAGGTCTGGTTTGACATGTCTCATCCCCTTCACAAGGAAGAATTCACCTTCTTATCACAGAGCTGTATGYGTCCTGGCATGACTGTGTGTGCTCTAAGTAGAAGAGTTGTTGGCAAACTGAAAAGCTGAAAGCAATTTTGGTTAAAACCACAAACAAACAAGTGAGCCATGTTTCTGAATCCAAAGCTCTGACACTCCTTACTCCATGGAGCATTGTGTAACATATCTTTGGGTTCCTCCACTACTGACTACTGTTTTCTGAGCATTTTGTTTGTAAAAAATTTGACGGCTAGTGTGTAATGTGAACACTGACAGGGAGCTTTGCAAAAGAGTGGGTGTAGTAGAATTGCAAGTTAAAAAATCACAAACAGGGACATTCTATATCACATCCCCAGGGTCAATAAACAGCTTTGATTAAGCCTTTACTCTGCTGCCTTGTTTCCTGGCTCTTGTCAGAAGCAGTTGTATTACAACAGTGCTCCTGACAAGTTCCTGTCTGGCTCACCCCCATTTTCTGCCTCTGTTGTTCTTCTGGGGAACACAAGCTGACTCCCACAATCAGGACTTGTTAGCATTCAGTGTATTACTTCAGCTGTTCAGCTTGTTGCAGTGCAACTTGAATTATTTAAACTTTGTACTTTAGTTAGCAGACTGGCTTCTTACACTGGGGCTGTGAAACCTCTGATTTAGACAGGATCAAGGTTTCAAGCCTTGAAAAAYGACACACATACAGGCTTAGTGGTGGATGCTCTGGATGTACCATCAGTTGTATCAAAAAGTACCAAGAAAGTGTAAGATATCCAGATATGAAGGAGAAGAAATACCAGACTAGGAAAATGAAGATTTGTCAATTTTGGTGCATCACCTTTACTCCAAAACCATYTTCCACGTATCACATGTATGAGAGTAGTGAGGGGAAGACAAAAACAATTTACAGCTCTTCATGGTAGTTTTTTACCTTCATCTTTTTACCATTACCTTTGCAGTTTAGCAGGGAGGTGGTTAAAAGACATTTTCCTACCCATTTTCTTCTCCCCAATCATTCATAAAAAGCTGCAAGGTCTTTTCACTCGMATTTGAATTGCTACTTTCTACCTGCTTCTATTGAAAATAAAAAGAAAGCCACATCCTGGATTCKCCTGACGCCCCATTTTGCTTTCATGATGAGAACAAGAATGAGAGTGCTAATGAGCAGCCACCATCATGATGCAAGGAGAACTGAGATGCTCTGCAGGCTGGGACTCCTGATGCCCCTGCTCTGGCTGTGATCTTTGTGTCAAAACTTCAGGCAAATTCTTCTTCATCCCCATGGCCCAAATCACTTCTGCCTCACAACACCGCTGGGCTGTTCTGCTTCCCCTTCCACCTTCTCAGCTATGCAAGGGGGACACGACCCACGTTTGGGCCACTGTGTGGCTACCCCAGCCCAAGAAACGTGGCCGAGAGGAACCCTTGGTGCTCACCTCGGCTGGCGCGGCTGCGCGTGCGGACGCCGAGCGCCATGGTGCTTTCCCCGCCGCCCGAGGAGGTCTTCAGCACCGCCTTCATGTTCTCGTGCTCGGCAGCGTCCTCGGCRTACTGCAGGCCCTGGGGCTGGCTCTGGCAGGGCGGTGAGCTGCTGCAGAACTTGCCGGACTGCGGGAGGAAAAGGATTTGTTGTTTCAACTGAGAACAGCACAGACAACAGGCCATGGCCTCGACTGCAAATCGTGAGGGAAAAGGTGTCCTGGGCTTGGGTTGGAGTGGAGCTATTCCCTAAAGAGCCCAGCAACAGTTGCTCCTCTCCCAGAGCATTCGCTCTGAGCAGAAATAAACCTGAAGCGGGGTGAGAGCAGGGAGCAGACACAGTCAGAGGAAAAACAGACGCATTAGCTTGAGCTTTGTAATTTTGACCTTATGCCTGAGAGTAAAAGGTACAAAGCAAGGAGTTGCTTTGAAACCGCCGATCCAGACTGGGCCTGATCTGGGGTCAGGCGKAATGCTAAGAGGAACAGCACGAGACCCAATCAAAAAAAAAAAAGGCTTTTTTTCCGTACAGTCAACTTTCAGTAGCAAGGCAAAATGGGGACACTGGTCTAGAAAGAGACACCTTTCCCTCTCGCCTCTCTGTCTTGCTGCACTGAAGACTCTCAAACTGTTCTACAACACAATTATCTACAAATAACCTTAAAACTCGTTACCAGTAAYGCTGAAAAAATGCCTGGTCCCAGAACACCCAGCCAAATTATTTCATGGACAAAACACAAAAATTGCAATCAGAAGTTAGAAGAACAAACAGAACCCTACAAGAGATTGAGGAATCTGCCCTCTGCTTCCCTGTCACCACAACTACATCAACAACAGCAGCTAYACCAGCTGGGCATGCACAGTGTGGGGATGCAGCAGCCCCACCAGTTACCAAAACAACCATCCAGGAACGGGTGGGAGCAGCAGAAACTGCTGGGGACTTACTAAGGAGAAGGACTCGCACTGCTGGGCTGCTCTCCCTTCCCAGACTCTGCCTACAAAGGGCTTGGATGCTGGTATTTGCCACTATGCTCTTATCTACGGAAAGGTCAAAGCACACTGAAAATAGAGCCCTGGCTGCAGGAAATACCGACCCTGTTGACAGCAAACAGGCATCAACAGATAATAATAAACCTCGGTACTCTCAGTCGTATCGCACCAGCATCAGACACCGAAATATGTTTTGTTTTTCCTTTTAATCTTTCTTACTCTGACTAATTCAGAACAGATGAAAGGACAAGTGCTGCATTCTCTTCTTCCTTTGCACAATAAACAACATTAATTATTCACTTGGTGATATCAAGGCAGTCAGTTAAATGGATGCAAACCTGCAAAGCCTTTMCGTCAGAAAATGGTAAATTGACAGAAAAGACTGGGCCCTACTTTCAGAGCTTTGATCGAAACCCCATGTCAAGACTGCAAATTGAAAATGTTTAATCTGGAAATCAATGATAAGATAATTCTATTTTAACACAGTGACTTTTTGGGGTAAGATAGCAAGTTAACTGAGTAACAAAACAATAATCCCTACAAGGCCCTGAGCTAAATATACCMGTACGAGACCTATTTTTGATAGTGAGAACTTTGTTTTTTTGTTAAAATATTAGCTTGCAAYATTTTGATGAGAAAAGTATGCAAGTGCTGGAGTTTCACATGTGAAATTAAGAGACAGAAAAAGATTAGAGAAAAAACTCCTTTGAAAATGCATGCCACTTTTGCATTAGGACTATTCTCTTATACAAAGTGAGTTGTTCAGCTAATCAATACCATCTCAAAAAAATCCCACAGGATAAAGCCTTCACATAACTRTTAGTTCCTATTCACACAGGTTAGTTACATGTTGGCATAAACAAGCAAAYGTAATTTTCTTTCTGAGCCTCAAGCTATACAGCACAAACCATCACTGGGGGTGAACCTCAAGAGCCAAAGTTTTATTTCATTTCCTTAATTTTCAGATGTTGCCATAAATTGCTTCCCAAACCCCAGCCTATGGAGCAAATGACCACCACTATGACACAGTGAGCATTAAGCCACATTGTTTATGTTCAGCAGATTGAAGAAAGCTCCAATGCTGAACAAAAAATGCATTGCACAGTAGACGCTCCTTGAACCAATAAACTATTTTATTATCAATAGAGCTGGAACATCACTTTCAGGAGCAGTTTATGATAAACACATGAACTACTCCATGGCTCACCTCTATGATGACTGAAGTGTCTCGTTCTCAATTTATGTAGCAAGGCAAACAATTGGAATTTGCTTAACATCCCTATATCCTGATGCTTTTGAACACTTTAAAAATAGCACCATGTGGGGTTACACAGTAATATCTTACTTGATGAGTAAGATATTATCCTGGTAATCCATAGCCCAAGGTAACTTATGATCCCCATAACATTTAGATCACCGATATTTTGGGTATTGGCAATATTTTACAGCACATCACAGACAGTAAGGGAAAGAAATGAGGAAACTTAAAGTTATTAAGGCCTCAGATCAAGATCTCCTTATTCAAGAGGACAGGTATGCATATGGTTAAAGCTGACKGTAAAAATGCATTCCTATGATTGAGGCAAAAAGGTATGAGAAAAATGTCATGGTTCATAGTTCCAGCTGAGCAGATGGAGTTGAGCAGTCCATACTGTCTGAGTTAGAAATTAGATGTCACAGCACACAGGAGAAATGGGATGACATGCTTTTTCAGAGAATCATACCTCAGCATCCTCTTCTTCATCAGTCTGCCACTGGAAACAAAGGACAAGGTGGAGAAGGACAAACAGCAATATTTAGGAAAGACAGCACCGTCAAACTGTGACAGAGTAAKAGGTAACCATGGTACTGTTTATGCAATAGGAGGACATAAAAATAGAAGAAACATAAGGGATTCATTCCTTAGACTATCAGCTTGCTCTTTTTTTTTTAGCTGATTGTATGTAAGCAGACTGTCACTGTTGGTAGAGTATGTAGAAATTTCCTGTTTTTCCTTACAGAAATGATGAACTGAAACTGCCCCAAACCCATCCTATTTCTCTCCCTTGAGCCATGCAGTTGTTTGCCCACTYTTTGCCCCATGGAAACTGAGAACACTAGGAAGGACTTCCTCTCCTTTTTGCATCTCTGTGCAGCACAGGGAGGTCCTGGCTGATGTTTCTCTCAGGGCAGAGGTTGACTTCTTGGCAATTCCTTTTCTCTACACTTAAGTGTTTGTTTTAATTCCTTTTTTAAGCTGGGGCTTTTCAACTTCCAATTTAACAGTGCACTCAAATCAAATGCTGGGTAGTCTTTGAATAAATGCTGTAAGTTCTTCAGTAGCTGCCTGATACCTGATCCTGGAAATCAAAGAGATGCAATTATCCATTGTCATTCAGGGCTTTCACCCTCTGTGACAGCAGGCATGTAAAATTTCCTTGACAGTTGCACCACATTAAATGCACAGACATACAAAATATGGTGGGATACAGAATATTCTTAAATTTGGGGATTTACAAAGAATTAGCAAACTATTTAAATCTGTGTTTCCAAATGACTGRGGAATTTTTTACAGGGTTAGAAGATGCCCACATGGAAGTTTCCCAAAGTAAAACATGGCTTCTCAAATATCTGGGGTCCTTGCTTCCATAATTTTCAGTTTGTTCATTTGTAAAGTGCAAACATGGTCCAGAAATGTTATGCATTTTTTTATTTGGGGGTTTGTTTTGTTTTTTTAGAAGAAGCATTCCACCAATAGCATTCCCTTCCCTGGGTTACTAATACATATTTTTGACCTTATCTCCATCTCAGCTCTGTTTCTGTCTGGGATTGATACATTCTGTTCCAGAAACATTCATCATTAAAAATGAAAGCCTGATTTACTTTGGCCCTCAGTTTAGTTCCAGCACAATCTCCATAAGAAGATTAGCTGTGACTGCTGAGCACCATGTTAACATTACTTTTTAAGGGTATGTTTTATTCAAAGAGTGAGATGCTTATTTTAATTTGGACACAGTGGCACTGACAGAAACAAAGGCAGTGTGTTTTGCAGAGGGACTGTGGCAGGTATGTTCCCTTTGCATTAACATTATCTGTTTGTCTTTTTTTCCATCCCCTGAGGGGCAGGGAATCATTCTATAAAGCAATTCTTCTGAAGGGGAACACTGTTCACTTCTTGGCATTAGTAAGAGACAGAAAGAAGAATAGGAAGTATGAACATTCTTGTATTCTAATTCCATCTGTCTGTCTGTCTATCTATCTATCTATCTATCTATCTATCTATCTATCTATCTGTCTGTCTGTCTGTCTGTCTGTCTGTCTATCTATCTATCTATCTATCTACCTACCTACCTACCTATCTATCAAACTATCTATTTATCTAATTTAATACATCATTCTGTACATCCAACTAATCAGTAAAGGGCAGAAGGAGAGCAAATTAAGCTAAACAACAAAAGAAGGCAGTCAGGGCAAGGTAAAATAGCAGAGAACACACACTACAAAGACTGTGCTCCGAATAAAAGTGTATTGTATTATTATTTTATATCAAACTAGATTTTTACAAGGTAAAGTCTCAGCTGCTGGCCTTCCTGTCCATTTAGTCCAGCTAGAAGTGATTTGCTGTAGACCCAATTTAAGGGCCATGTACACTTCTCTGCCTGACTTTGCCCATCTCCACTACCTGGGCATTACCTTTTCTCTCCCTCCTGCTCCACATGGAGTGAGCTCACTCCTAGAATCACTGTCCTACACCCAAAGCAACTCCAGTGCACAGGAGGAATAGTTCACCACCCCCTTCACATTCCCATGCCTGAAGAGCCATTTGACTCCCGCAAATGCTGACAACAGGAGTAAAAGCAGCAAAATAAACAAATCAACCTTATGTTTCACAAGGGAATTTGCTCTCACCCCGGTGTGTACATTCTGCCTTGTATTTCCTTCTTTATTTAATCACTGAGAAATAGCAATAAATTAGTACGTTTTTCACATGTAATATTACCAAAAAGCAGGRAAAGAATATTGCTATACTGGAGACCACTTGCAGACACAAGATGTTAATTGTAAGGAAAAAAAGGCCACTTGATTCTTCTGTCATTCAATCCTGATTCTTGCAGGACAGTCTGAGATCTCCCTCTTTCCCTTTCTCCTGCCCTCACAATTTTCCTTTAGGCTAGCATTTCTGTGCAATGGATTTGGTGTTTCAAAATATTATGTCTATTAMATAGCAATTTTGGAATCAAAACTCCTAAGTATCATGAAAAGCAGAGTTTCATAAATCTGGSAGACAGATGCTTACATTACCTCCTATTATTAAAAATCATTTAAAAGCTCAGATTTGTATCTGTAATTGCATTTCTTCCCTATTTTGCTTGCTTGTTATTTCTAGAGTGCCCAAATGAGTGCTACCATTGGCTAAAGCCAGATATAAGGTTACAGAGAGGATGCAATTTTCTCTGTGAAACTGGTAAAGTACTGCTCTTTTTTTTATTTTTTCCTTACCCCTCCCCTCCAGACAGCATTCACTGAGATTTAAACTGACAGTGCCCAGTCCACTCCAGCTATTAAAGAACATACAAACCCAAAGATATCTGTGGCAAAAGGCTGAAAGAAAGACTGGAAATACTCCCTATTGTGTTTCTCAGCCTTATTCCATTGAGCAGTCGCTGAAGCTGATGCAAGTTCTCCGTGCAAAGAGCCAGCAGACTCTCCACGCCAGGAGCCAGCACCCCTCTGCYTTCCAAGTTTGCAGGGGGGACAAGCTTTAAGAGACACAGGCTCTGAAGAACTGGGCTGGTTCTGCCTTATTCCTTTCCTGCTTTTGCTAAAATCCCTCCTCATCAGCCTAAAAGCAATTTACTGCAAGGTGATAAAAATGAGATACAGAGGAAACTTCCAAAAGGACGGGGAGGTAAATTTCAAATAACTGCACAATACTTTTAGGTCACCAAAAGTAGGGAGTGAAATTACGTATGACTACTGCATATTATAATCACTTTCTACAAAGAATTTCTTTACAATGTCAAAATCTCAACTTTGTTTTGTCAGTATTTGGTAACCAGTGAATCACTGTCAGTGCATTACTGATCTATCTTCCCTTTCCAATGCCTTCAAATATAAAACACGAAGAAAATCAAGACCAGATACAAACCACAGCCAAAACAAAACTGCAATAAAATTCCACGTTTTCATCATTCTTCACACATAAATATCTTCYATCCTGCTGACTTGGAAACTTGTTTTGAGGTTGATCTACCTTTGAAGTTGTCCGAGGAAGCCATGGCAAATAGTCTGATGCAACTTTAATTCTATTGTTTTACCATATACTACAGTTCAAATAAAAGGCAAATGAGGCAATATTACTGGGCTATGGTCAAAGAGATTTAGCAAGTTCTGAAACAACTATATGGCCACATGAATAATCCCCTTAAAGAGCATTTCTGTAAGGGCAATTCTAAAGAATGTTGGTTTTTACTCCTGCAGGCTTTTTGGTTTTAAGCTAATAGGACTGTTCTATAATTGTAAATTAATGATAGGAACAAAATGTCCCTTTCTTAAGATCTGCAGGACATTTTTTTAGTGTAACACTAAATTTCAGATGACATTTAATTCTTGCTAAATCTCAACATCATCTTGAGCTTAACAAAAGACCTTCTTTCAATGAAGTTCTGGGAAAGGCCTTGATGCCTCCTTTCCTCCATTTTGGGGAAATGGCCATTGTCCCTGGTTCTGCCCCTCACTGACTCACTGTCAAGTCTGAACTTTTTTCTGGTTTGAAAGGGTCCTATTTCTGTGCTTTGTGAACCCAGCTGCCTACCAGAACTCCATTCCCTTTCACGTTTTCTGCAGGAAGAAGACATAGAGAAGCTTCCTGGCCGGCCAGAGCCGCTTATTCTGAACAGATCATACAGAAACACTACATTATATAGCAGGAAAACAGTAACCCCTTCRCACCTCAGCATTGCTTAAATTAGCAAAAAGTATCAAAGATATGTGAATGACAATTTTAATTTACCAAACTCTTTGGTTAAGGCTGTCTTTTGGCCTCTTTAGGATACATCACGAAAATCAAGAAGCGATCACAGAAAGGGATCTCAGTTCTCCAGTGGTAGTTTTGAAAKTTTGTATGACTGTATTATACCCTTTGTATAAATTCAGAGCCTCTTCCTTAACCTGAGACCTTTGATAATAATACAGGATTAACATTTTCTTTAGATGGGCCAGATTTCCAAATGTAAAGAGGGAACCGCCAGGAAAGATCTACAAATGATAATGAGTCAATGACTTAAATACAATCTCAATTCATGTCAGTCTCAATACATATATTTATATTTATATTTATATTTATATTTATATTTATATTTATATTTATATTTATATTGACCCATATTGCCTGAGCCATAAAACTGTATGTCTTAGGGCTTTTCATGCCAAAGGCAGGGGTAGTTTCATATGCAATGAAACACTTGCATCTAATCGAGACTCCAGATCTGGATTTTGAGACAGCTGGAAAATTTTATTAAGTACTGGCACTTTCTAAAACTTTATTTGGATTGAGTCAAACTACTTCAACTTAAAAAAAAAAAAAGATAAAAAGAAAATCAAGGGGATTTTAAAACTTACTATGCTGAGAAAACAAATCTTATTTTAATTTATTCTATGTGCATGAAATCTTTCAGTCAAAAGATCTGCAGAGTAACATTTACTGTGGACATAAATTTGTTCGTCCTTTCAGAATCCCAAAGCAGCCTGTAGCCATACAATTGGCTGCTCTGTGCTTCAAAGTTAAGTAGAAAACGGCCATGTGTGCACATGCTATATATACATATATATATAGAGATACACACAGACATAAAAATAGATAAAATATCAAGACTAAAGACTACATTAGAATATTCAAAGATGCAGGGAAAAAATATATTAAAATTTGATTACAATCACTTAAGTCACTACAGTGATTCATAATTTAAATTACGTTCTCAATTAAGAGTCTAATTTCAATTTTTTTTTTTGTTTTTCATATCCTTGGCTGATCAGGTACATACAGCATCTGATGTCTGCTAGATATCCTGGACACTGTCAGTGCAACACACAGGGAAGCTCTTTTTGGATGATTATTTTCAGTCTGTTCTCATCCTACACATTTGTATGAAGCAGAAAATACACCCAATCAAGTAAGTTTTGTAAGTTCTACACCATACTTATAAGTTTTGTTTTCTAAATAGAAGAGAGTTTTTAGTTACAGGAGAAGGACCTCTAATAATAAAAGTAGACTAACAACACTTCATAYACCACATTCARTGAAAGAAAGTTTTAAAAATCCATRTWTTGWGAGATAYYATTTGCCACTTACATCTGTTATCATTTTCCCTCTGGTCTTGTTTCTTTCCCTGTGGTTAGCTCGTTTCTGTTTTTGCTGCAAAACTCGYTCCCTGGTGGTGCGGTATTCCAGAGCAAATTCACTGATAATTTTGCAGAACTTATTGATGTTGACTTCACGTATTGCGTAGGGAGGATGGCCCATAAATAACAAAAATGAGTGAAACCTGGAAAAAAATGAGTTTATAAATGTAAAGGGAAAAAATCTTTATTGATGGTCTCTGGGAAAAAAAAAAAAAAACCCCACGATATATTTCACTAAATCCATTTATTACTTTACTAGCTCCCATCATTTCCTCTATGCTACAGAATTTTCATGGATGCTTTGCATAACATTGGTATGTTTTATAATTAAAACCATGAAAGTCTAGCCTATGATAACTTCATCCCAGTCTACTTTCCCAGGCTGATGCAGGAGATAAGATGTTTATGGAACTCCATCACTTTATATGACTAATTTGGCACGTGAATGACCAATTTCATTTCAGTTATAGAAAAAATATTTATTAAGTTTCAATTCTATTTATTTGTATTAAGCRACTTCAAAGAGGCTGTTAGGATATTGGGCAAAGTCTAGACAAGAAGAATGCAGATTTACAGGCTAGCAAATACGAGAAGGAAAGAATTTCTGGTTCACAAAACTGACCATAAAATTATATTATCTACCAAGTACGCTAGTTTGGGACACTCCCAGTTCACAGTTTTACTCCTTCTGTGGCATTCAGAGCTTTTGCACTATTTGCAATTTTTACTATTGCTTCTATATTGCATGATTTACAACAGCACGCTGAATGTGTAAAAATGTATGGGAATTCCTTTTAACTACCTCTACATCCCTGTGGACAAAAAGTCTTCCCAATCCTAGAAAGATGCATGTATATGAAAACATTTTTAAGAACTACAGTAGCTGTTGCGGGATATTAGTGGAGAAAGTTGATATTTTTTTTTTTACTTGTACAATGCTTATGATAAACACAACAGGAAACAAACAAATTCACTTCCCTCCCACTGCAATTGGGATTTCTGTTTACTTATGGCATAAACCCCAAGACCTCACAAAAACAAAAGAAGAGCTGAATCAACTTCTCAAGTATATATCCACAAATTTGGAATGATTTGGAAATCTAGTTCTTAATTTTGACCACAGAAATTTGGAAATTACCCAGAAGTTGGAAAATCTCTCACAGTTGCATTAAACCCAACTGCAAATCCTAAGGAGAGGAGTCTTAATTCTCCCTTCAGCTGTATAATCATAAAACACATGGTCATAGGTCTTGCAAATATGAGTGATGCTGCCTATAAAAGAACTCATTGTACAAGACTAGTTTCAGTTATTGCATATGACCAATTTGTCAATAAAACTTTGTTTTTTTGCTACAGTCTGTTCTTGTTTATCAGACAGTAAACCAAACTCCCTCAAAAATATCCAGAGATTAACAGAAAATCTATCAACTTAACTGTAAAGCYGCTAGCTTTTGGGTACTAGGAGGTAAAAGACCAGGTTACTGCGCCTTGAGAATAAATGATCGCCTGGATGACTGTTTTTATAATCAAAAATATAGAACTTTTTGGAGTGGGGAATCTTTCCTCAATGGACCTTATAACAAAGTATGCACCACATACAACCTGACAACATTCCTTGCAGGAATGCGCATTAAGCACTTATAAAACAATCTTTATGATTCATAAGTTGTACATACCAAGTAATTTACTATCAAGGTATTGCTGCCACCAATATAATGCTGTACCTGTTAATTATTCTTCTATGAACAATCTTCAGGATTATGATTCTTTCTGCACAGTCTTTAAGGAACTCAGACATTTTTTGCTTTAGACTTGGCTTCATTTCATGCTTTGCTATAGCCTTAAGGTGATCCCATGATGCCTTGCACCGTCTTTCCATCTGACACAAGTTTTCCTGGAGTTGTTCAAAGTCAACCTGAAAAAAGAGAAAGGAAAAGAAAAGGTGACACTTGAGGTGAAAACACTGTGGTTGTATACTTGGACATCCGAACAATGCATGAAAGTGTCAGGGTAGTGGCAGCACAATATCAGTTCCCATTATTAATAATTACCGAACCAATAAAAAAAAGCTTTCGCTATCACACTATGTCTAGGCATATAATATTAATAAGGAAAAGTGAAAACAAAGAAATACCCCAATGCATATATTTGGTTTTAGTCTTAGAGGCCTAACAGCTAAAGAAGGGACAATAAAATATTGTGATGTGTTTTTTCCCTTGCTAATAACTTCATGTCTGCACCAAGCAACTGCATGACTCAGTTCTTTCTGAGGTAATACAAAAMTTTCTCTTTTTCTTAATCCTTTTCTCTACTACTCATAGCTTTTTATACCCTGTTTACTGCTCACTGTTGTACCCTGCCAACACTTCTCCATTTTAGGAAGCACTTGGATCTATTCCCTAGTCATGCACTGACTTGTTAATAGATGATCTAGTTCTAATCACAAAATTCACGGGCCAGAATTTTTTAAAGCTCTATTGAAAGTATGTGTTATTTAGTGATCTCAGCACTAACTTTCATCCCTTGATATACAATACGAATTTACTGGCTTGTAACAAGATCACATAAGGACTTGAAAGTCTTTTAACACAGTTAAAATAAATGATTGCACCTTACAGCAATGTTCATCAGGATGGAAGCCAACACATTCCACAGAAGGTCGGGGAGAGATTCTCCTTTATTCATCAACCAAAAAAGGTGTTCAAATAGTAACACTCTACAGAAGACACTCAGGACATGTTGCTAGCAACTGAACAAAGTGCATTACAACCCAGCCACAGCACACAACAGATGAGAAAAATAAAATTACCCAACATRCTCTGCAATTATGAAGAAAGGAAAGAATTATTTTATAATACCACTTCACAGTTCAGATGAATTCAAGCTATAAAATACAGGCTTAGCTCTCAGATTCTAAACACATCAGTGCTTGAGATGTTACAGTCTCCTACTCCAGTTAATTCCTTAATACTAAATGAAAATCAGTGTCAGGGACAGGTTTTATTTCATTCTTCTTAGTGTGTGCAGCATTTASTGCTGAGACCTATACTGAGGACAGCCATAAGAAATGCATTATTATTAAAAAGCTCCTGGTATTGATTTGATTTGTTTTTGCTGTGATTTATAAAGTGATGAATTTTTCCTCTYCACAAGGAAATAAAAACATCCTTTGATCCACTCTGCTATTCAGAAAAGCCCTGAAGGCGGAGCAGCTGTGGGGTATTTGCTTTCCTTATATCCATATCAATGCATATGTTTAAAAAAAAAAAGTTCTTTCCAGGTCAGTATTTTCAYTGTTGATGATAAACACATTGCTGGTCTCCACAGATGGTATATCTAAAACACACATGGRRAAAAACACTAGCATTCCTGTTAAGRAAAAAAAAAAATTCCAAGGTTTAGGTCTTCTTRGTAAGAATTATCCAACCTAGTTGAGGAAGCCTCTCAGCCTCTACAGCTGAGATATTTAAATTCATCACATTTTATGACAGAATGAGTTTTAATCTATCAAAAAACTCTGAGCTTCAGGCCTGTAGGGGTTCAAGAAACATCTTTGGAGAGCAACAAATGTGGGGGAACGTGGCAAATTCCTGGTCCCTTGAAATCTGTCAGTGGTCAGCACATTCACAAGAGTGGGAAGTTTCCACAGGAACTGGGGACGCCAGGTTGGACTAAAGGATACTCATGAGTTTTTTCAGCACAAACAAAAATTCAATCCTCTGGGGAAATCCTAAGGAGACAGCAGTAAGAAGAATGCCACCTGAACTCTCCTGGAATAAACCTCAGTGGAGTACAGGCATGATTAGCAGAAGCTGTGAACTCCTGGAAGGGGTGAGGCAGGAACTCCAATATAGRATAATGTGCCAAATCTTCATGTAATCTCTGTCTGCCAGCTCTCTGGCGTTGGGTCAAAAAGGAATACACTTGCAGAAAAATATCTGCATGTAAAATATTAAAATTCCAGTTTTTCTCAGAAACAAGCAGGTATCCCACCTGATACTTAGTGAAGTGCTATTTCACCAGTGCCAATTTTGTGTGTAGACACAGAATTCATTACATTTCAGCCTGCTCCAGGTCTGCTGTTCTGCTTACGGTGTTATACAGAAATATAACAGTAAGAGTGATGAGAAATCCCAACTACAAGTGAGCCCCAATTATGTGTTCATATGAGAAGGAGAACAAAAACTTGTGTGGAGTAATAATGACAATTTTTCAATATATTTTGCATAAAGAAAACAAAAAAAGGCATAAATAATACCATAATACCTCCTTGTCAGTTCACACAGCATCGCCAAGGGAGCATGGATTGAACCTTCTGATTTATGTGTTTATTTCCAGCACTTTACTAAAAGAATTAATGATGTATAATAATAGAGCAACATGATTCCTCTTTTTTDTTCTTTCCTTCTTGAAAGGCAAGGTGCACCTAATCTTGCCTGCAGCTGGATGGTSATGCTGGGACTAAGAAGGAATTCCATGAGTTGTGGCTTCAGGAGAGCTCAGCATAGGAAGTAGTGAGACAAGAATTGCTGTGGCACTATAACTATGCTTCACTGAATAAAAGGAAGCAGTACCCTGAAATAGTCATTACAGCTTTCTCTCTGGACAGTAGTGTGCAGATGTTTTACCTCGCCCAAGGATTTCAAGGAAGGTGGAAACATATGTTCCTCTTCTTCCTCCTCATTACATATATGTGCAAAACACATTCAGCTTGCTGGTCCTGCTGAAATTGTTACCTTCTGCTAAATTTTTTTAAATCAATAAATCTTTTTCTGCAGGAAAAAGAATGAGTGGGCTTAGTTTCTTATGTAAAATAAGAATGTCCTTTTTTGAAACACTATGAATTGTTTATTTTCATGTTATAAACCAATGTAGAAAAAGCAACTTTCTAAATGGTTCTGGGATATATTTGATATTTTCCTGCTTTCTCCTGCCAGGTACCTCTCCATTCACAATCACACGAGCTAAAAAATATTCAAAACTAGTATTATCTGTGGGATCTCTTGCTAGGCTCATTGTTCAGTCTTCTGAGAAGTGCCTGTATAGACACTGTTGTATCAGAGTGGAGTAGCCAGAGACAGTATACACAARCAGGATGTAAAGACTAATTCATGTGACAAAAGCCCTGCAGAGTCAGCCTCAGCAAACCACTGCCCTAACTCACTAATGGACAGCTTCAGAATTAAAAATCTATTTTACAATTTAACACACCACCATGGTTTGCATAAATGACTCAGACCAAAGAATAAAACCTTCCAAGCACATGCCAGAAACAACGACACTCACTTTAAGCACTTTATATTACTGTTAACTGCTTCCTACCAYAGAAGAAGATGACTCTCCCATAAACAAAAATTAAAAAGAATTCTACCAAGTTTCTCATTCGACTGGGCTGACAATTCAGTACCTCATGACACACCTACTGCCCAAACAGCTTCTGTTCTCACTGGTTTTCACCTGACTCAAAAACTGCCACCACCATCAAATGGCTCAGCATTTATTTCCCTGCTCGTTCAGGTTCCCTTACAAGATCTAATTTTTTCAAGTTCAACTCATCCAACATCACATGCCATGTATAAAAGTTTAAAACTTTCTCATTTATGAAATACTAGACCATGATCCAATCATTCAGGCGGGACATGAATCAGGGAGACTTTCTGCTCTTTGGGTTGGGATGTTATTTCTTCGTGTGGCCACAAATACCCCATGGCAACWCAGGAACTGCCTCCTTTACTGTTTGTTGGGAGAGAGAGGAATGTCTGCTCTGAGGTAACATTGGGAATTAAATGCAGTTGCTCAAACCTAAAATGCCTTCCACTATATATTCCCCAGGGCAGAATGTACAACTGCAGGTATGTACTGCCATGCACGGCAAACAACTGCAGCCACTGTGAGATAAAAGGTCATTTTTCTTCGGCATTCCCTTAGCTGGAATGTGCTTTACAAACACGTTTCCTCTCCCAGCCAAATCTCCTCTAGTCTTTGGGCTAAGCTCCCCCACTACTGCAAGTACAAAACCATCGAAAAGTCAAAGATGCTGCACCTAAATACACTCACGTTCCTTGCCTCCTATGTTAACATTCAGCTCTTTAACTGGGTCAAAGATGTTACAACTGGATTGAAGCAAAACAGAACCCAAAATAAGTAAATGAATGGAAAGTGATGATGTACTTGTTTTCAAATTCACTGTATCCAAAGTTTTGTTCTGAAGGCCAGTGAATAACTTATTACATAGCTTTGGCATGCTTGTGTAAGATTTCTATTGTTTGATACTCCATTGTTTATTGCTACAGCTTRTTTCTTTCAATGGTGAACATATAAAATCCGGTTATTTTATAAGAAAGACCTGGATCTCTGCTTTTTWAACTTAGTCACAAGGTGCATTAAAAAGAAGATTGATGCTTTCACAATGACAACTGTTGCCTTGAATTCACAATAAAATGACCACTATTTTATTGTACCGCATACAAAGATATACATAACCACACACAAGTTTTCTCTTTTCAAAGTTCAAGATAGTTTCTGCAGCACACCACAGTCTAGTCTGAGATGTTTATAATTTAGGGTCAGACCGTCCATTCTCACATTATTACAGGGATGCGTTCTGGCAGGGAACACAAAATCTTCCTCTTTTCCTGAGCTGGTTCAGTGCCAAAGGAAATTCTGAGAATYGCTCCTTGCAAACATACTGTCATCTGAGAGCAGTGACCTTCTGTGGCATATGTTCAAAACTCTGTCTCCTCTAATATTTCCAGACAGGCTTCCTCCACCAAGTGTCACAAGAACTATCCCAAGACCACTGTTAGTCCAACTTGCACACTGTGGTCATGCGTTTTAAGCCAGATAGATGCCAGCTCTCAAAAGAAAGCAATATATATACTGAAGGTTCTGCCCAGACAAATCTAGGTGGCATGA